AGAACAAGCTAACCGTAAAAGGTTTGAAGGGGATCTCTGGCTAGGCAAACCTTCATTATTCAATTGCTTTTTGTCTGTTGGCCAGACGTTAAGTGTTTGAAGTGGTCGAGCCTTGAGAGCCATTTGCTGACAATAGTTTGAAGTACTGTAAGGCCACTTTTTTGGCTTGTGGAAGCACCGTTAAGTTTTTGAGACACAGCTTCACTGTATACATTAACAAATACACAGATACATTAATGCTAAGCAACTCTGGAAAGACATTACTCATTCTGTGCTATGAGAGAACTGTGAAAGCATTGCTTAAAGGCAACACCCAAAGCCAACAGCTCGAGACAGGTAGTTTCTATGGCACTGAAGACAGAATCAACAACACAGTGTTTACATGACAGCTGTTGGCTAAAGACATGTTTTAGTTTTTTCTTTCCTTGAAACATGCTGTCATGAGTTCCTATGTATCAAACTATAGAAAAAAGTTGGGATTTTAACACCTTTTAAAATATCGTCTGTATAGTTGCAAGTCTTTCTTTACAGTTTTGTTCCAGTGTAGCCTTTTGAAACATAAGTGTCAGTGCGGTGTACTAACAACTACCAGGGGAAAAGAAAGATATCACTTTTTACTCAACAGACTTAGATTAAAACCGTAAATCATGCTCCATTGAATATGTATAATGTGTTCTGCAGAAGCTCTCACTACATGTGAGAGCTTATTCCACTGTTTATGAACTAGCTGGAGGTTTGAATTTATGACTGTTGGCTGTTACTGCAGTGAATATAATTAAACTTCTTTTGAATAAGAAAATAACTTTGGGGGTATAGAAGAAGAATATGGAGGGATGAAACCCTCTTTAATGGTCACACATGCAGAGCACACAGCAGTGCAATTTGTATCTACAGATAAATATTAAGCCTGACAAAGTACTTAACGTCTAATATATTGTTTTCCTGCAATGTTAACTATGTTATAAGATGTATGTAGATAGTATAATAAATATGCAGAATGACAGTTTAATGGTGGAGGTATACACACATATTGATAGATGTCTTGTAATGCACTGTTGAGGAACCTCAGCTGCGACCCAAGTTTTTCATTCATTGCATAACTATACTTTAGTTGTGTATATGATATGTCAATAAACCTTAGAAAATCTTGAAATCTTGAAAGGGATGTGCAAAATAGTCTTTATATACAGTCTTTAATTAACTATTAGTAGAGAATAACGAATAATGAATATACTTTATAGGGATCCTATTAATATCTAATAATAAAATGCAATAACGTGCTTTAACCACCAGGTGTCCCTTTCGATCAGCTGTGCACCTTTATGGTGTAAATACAGCCTATCTACCAATTGGATCAAATATAAAAGTCAGCCGAATTAGTGTTGATACTGCAAGGAGACGTATTGTGTGAAAATAAATGTAAGATGTTGTTTAATTGCTGATATATTTATGATCCACGTCACGCAGACCCGGCGCCAGAACAAATCTAAAGGGAGGGCATATGATTTTCATGGGAGGGCACACAACACCGTCACGTGCTGCGGGCCTGCGGCACAATATATATCAAACAGCAAGGCCAACGGCAGTGCGTAAAGATGCACACTTATCGCAAATACATACACAAATAAAGAGCAACATAGAAACTACTCTTGAAACATTGTGTGCGTGGCAGCGCAAACACTGGTAAATCACGAGCAAGGCACACTGGTTAAGGATGGCAGCTTCCTCATCGCTGCACTCGGAGAGAAATAGTAGAGACGGAGACGATGAACTGTTTAGCCCGCCTTGGGCATGGTTTATTTTCCTATGCACTGCACTCGGACATGCTGTGGAGTGAACCGAGGTCACCTCTGAGAGGGAGTTGGTTGACAGCTAAAAAAGCTATAATATCAACAGCTGACACGTAATAACAGTTCCGTGCCAGCTGACCTGCACCAAAGTACTAATTTCCTTATTTGTTTCCTCGCGTATCTGTCTCTCTCTACAAACTCTCACATGAAATGTGTTCTTTTGATGCGGCATGCATTAGCAGTCCTTTATCAGTCTGTAATGCGTGTTTCCAGTCGCAAAAACCTTTGACAGTAAAAGCCGCATCAGATGAAGACGTATTTACTTTAAACTGTCTACAGGGGAAACAAAAGGCTGCGTCTGCTTTTAACGAATCTTCAAGCCATGGTCTGTTGTTGTACCATGCAGCGGCTAAAGTGCGCTTCTTTCCTGAAAACAATCTCCCTGGATAACGATCCAGTTTCACCTGGTTGGGTTTATTAACCCCAAGATCATCTGGGGTTGTTGGTCTTTGAGCGGTTGCTGACCCAATAGAACCTGTTGATGTGCTGCAAGGTAGCGTCTAGTGGAGGCACCGGCACGGAGGAGGAGGAGGAGGAGGAGGAGGAGGAGGAGGAGGAGGAGGAGGAGGAGGAGGAGGGTGTGGCAACGCAGGTGGTGATGGTAGGGGCACAAGGAGCTGTGCCTCGTAGGACAGCGTTGGTGGCGGCCGCCTTGATGAGTCAAGGCTTGGCCTCGCTAACTCAGCCCCGGGGTTTGCCGAGGTCAAGCTTGTGACATTAAGGCGTGCTGCTGCAACGGCAGGTGCAGGGTCGCCAGCAGCACCATCGGCTGCAGTTCTTTCATCGCTTATTCGTTTTAATAAATCCTTAGACCTTTTAAGCCAATTTCTGATGTCCATTTTGTCATTCAAACAGAAATGGGAGTCTACAGAATGCACAATAAACAAATCCAGAATAGGCGGCAGAGTGTGACGCTGTGATTGGTCTAAATGTGGACGAATCACAAATCACAACAGACACATGAATTTATTTGACGTAGCCTGCGATTTTTAGTTTTAGTTACTATCTGACATCACATACATCGTAGCATAAAAGTTCACAGTGTATAAAAAAAAAAATATATATTTTTTTTTTAAATGTTATAAATAATAAAAAACGTGTATATTAGGGGAGGGCAGGAATGTCAAATGGGAGGGCCTGGCCCTCCCTGGCCCTCCCACGGCGCCGGGCATGACGTCACGTTTTCAGTTTTGGCGGCAGTTGTTCCTGTTTGTCCAGAAGTCTTCTCAGCAGGGCTCTATAAATAGAGAACTACGGCAGATGTGTAATATTTAATGCAGCCGAACCGTGTATTACAATGCCGTTATGTGATGACTTTCAAAGAGAAAAGCTTTCTCGTAGGCGTAGGATCTTTCCTACGTCTGTTTCCGGTATCGTTTATGACGGATGTATTTTGTTATACACACATTCCTTCACATTTACATTTTAATTTACATTAAAGTATTTCGTGAGGCCTTCTAAAATGTTTTTAAATATAACTGCGGTTGTAGTTGAATAGTTTGTAAATTAACATGAACCAAAGCTGTTGCCTGGCAACGCAATCGCACAACGTCACGTCCGTTAATTCCACATCCACACGCATGGATTAACATAGATTTAATACATTAATGTAGCCTTTGTTTCTGCTAAAAGAGGTGTCGACCAGCTGGGGCAACAAGAAAATCGGCGAAATCGAGTGACTATTAAAAAATAAATCATTATTATATTAATATTGACAATAACAACCGACCGTCGGGGTAGCATTTGCTTGGCATTTCCGGGTATTTCTTCACTGGTTGGGCCATGTTAACAATACCGTGTAACTGTCACGTTTGAAGGGACGAAATCGTGACATCTTCACGTCTCCCAGCATGGTAAATCGTCACATGTTCACGTCTTGCCGTGATACCGGGTTGACAGAAACAGCATGTGTGAGGAGCGCTGAAGCAGTTTTCCACTCTGCCATGATTCACAATCCCAGAGTTCTGCTTCTGGTTTATAGTGCTAATTGCACACACACACACACACACACACACACACACACACACACACACACACACACACACACACACACACACACACACACACACACACACACACACACACACACACACACACACACACACACACACACACACACACACACACACACAGCCTCTGGCAGGTGTATTAGGCTCCTGAAAAAGTCCTTAGTCAGCAAATAAAGACTTAATCAGAAAGGCTTCCTCACAGGTCTGGACTCACCACCAATGACTAGCAGACGAGCCCGGCTCTTTCATTCAGCCACCCCTTTCTTGTTAAAATGTGTTAGACAATCTCACATCATTATGTCTGTGATGACTCTGCTGATTTACAGTGTTCACCTCTCTTTCTTTTTGTGTTTTACCATTAATGGTATCTTCATTTTTTGGACTTGCATTCGATATTAATTTGCTTTCTTACTTTGTGTCTGTTCTGAATTACCTTGTTAGCTTGTTGTTTGTGTTTTGTCTCTCCCATCTCCAAACAAATGACGAACATACTTTTGGTATAACAACATCAGGAAACGCACTGAGAGTGACCCCGACTGCTGAGAGACCTGTGCAAACTGTATAATAGACCCCATGTTATAAGCCTAAATGGGCTGGATGTAACACTACTATTTCAAAGGTCTTAGCGGGCCTGTTCACACTGTCGCCATAATAATTATAGCCATTGCAATGCCTGACTGTCCAGTATAGAATTAGTAACATGAGGTATGAAGGACACAGGATGCCTTCAGGACACAGAATGACTTTGTCTTCTAATTCCAGGATTAAGGTGACTTGTAGAGGGGCCTGTTATTAGAAAGCTTTTAATAACAGCTTGTGATTCAAGAAAGGATACATGTAGATAATGTGAGTATTTTAGAAAGCAGCAGAGATGGTGTGTTTCTAACATCTGTCCATTAACCACATACCTAAAAGACAAGACACTTTCATGCTCAAAGCGCTGATTCAGTATGAGTGTTTCTGGGAACCTCCAAAGTATTGAATGTTACCCTGGGATTATGACCTGAAAGTACACCGAAAGGTTGTATTAACTTTTGAGTAAAACGTGAAGTCTGTTTTAAAGAAGGCCTTGGCAGACTTTATGTACATATGGTTCAGATTAACTGTATGTCTGAGAAGGTTTTTGTTTGTTTTGTTGCAGAGGTACATGGGACAGAGAATCCACTCGCCAAAAGACCTTCCCTAGACCCTTGGATTTGGCTGGAGTCGGCCAGGAAACAACACCTGAATGAGCTCAAAACCAGGATGAAGATCAATCAACTAGAATACCCCCAAACCCTGAAAGAACTAAAGGTCAGAGTTCAACCTTGAAACTATGTTTTAATGACAATTCAGGATTCATTATTACCTCAGGTTCTGTTTTTTGACTTAAAAAGTTATTGGCGGATTTCCATGAACCTTGGTGGAAGGGTGTATCAGGGGCCAACGAAGAACCTATACAAAATCAGAGAGGATCTAAATCACAGGGTGGATACACACATTATTTTTACTTATGAAACAGCCTTGGCGGAGGTCTCCGCAAACTTGTAAAGCGGATATCATACCATGATTTGATTTAATTATGTGGGCTTTTTTTTAAAAACATTTCAAGGGCAAAAAGAGATTGAAGCCAGTACATTTATTTGAAAATGCAGGGTCTTACACATGAAGATGTATACTTGAACTACATTAAATACAAGTTGTCTTCCCTTATGCTAAAAATAAATATACCATAACACCATAACATTTTTTGTGTGGAACCATTACAAATACCACTTCAGGTCTCAACTCTATGCTATACCTTATTTTCTTGTTGTAGAGAAACAGTAGCCAATACTGTATGACATTCTAACCAAACTAAATCTGAGTGTGGTTTAATTCTGTATGAACTTCCTCCCTAAAAATCTGAATTAGCATTAGAATCCGGTGTATTGCCAAGTAGGTTAACAGATGTGAGGAATTAACATTGGTGTAAATGGGCATGCATAATGGGAAATAAGGAGCAAACATAAATACTATAATACAACTATTTAAAAAACCATTATAGCACATAACAAATGAAAGAAAAAAAAGGCACAAAATGAAAATACAAAAAACAAGTAAGTAAGTACAAATATGACAAATGCTTCCCTTTTTCCAACAGCAGCTTCCTAGCTTAGATTGTGTTTGTAGTCTTAGTTGTGTAGGTCAGAGTACAATGACATGTCTGCCTATCAAAAGACAAACGGTCAACAATGTGCTGTGAGGGTAAAACATTGTCTGGTACAGTGGTGCCCTCCTCTGGGCGCTCTTTCACTCTAACAAACACACGCACGTGCACAGACACACTTTTTTATCTTACATTAATTCTTAGGGTGAAAGGCCGTAACCTAATCATAACAACCACATTCATCATAACAAAAGTCTTTCCCTAAATGAACCCTCACTTTAACAGAAGAACGAGTTTCAACACTTTGCCTTACCTGGGGGAGCAGGTCTGTGTTCCCATCAATCAGATAAATACCTGTAGCATGACTGTGTAAACACATTTGTGAGTGACCACAACCTCCTTTAATCTGTGAGAATGGATCTGTTTGTATTCCAAGAATGTCCTAGTGTGGTAACTTCGATTACTCTGAGATAAGGAAACAGCATACACAAAAGCTGATAATATGCTAAAAATTACGTCATTTTAAATGACATTTAAGTTGATGTCTTGAGTTAGCATACAGCATGTCTTTATTATGTGGAGGCCTCGTGGTTCAAACTGACTAACTCATTTGGTGATGCATCTCTAATTACTACTCTTAAGAATACTTTTAGCACTACCTCATGCATTTGTTCCATGTATTGATTCATTAACAATTATGTATTAAGTGAATACAAGCCACATTAGCTGCATTGAGAAAAACAGATAATAATTGCCCATAATGAGCATCTTCAATATGAAAAGTAATATTGTTTGGCTGTCTACAGTGGAATGTGTGTTGGCAGTTTAGTCCATTCAACAGATTAGAACCCCCCGCCCCACCATTTTTTTTAACACTCACTTAACATTTCACAGTCTTAAATGCAGCTCTGCGAAAAAATAAAAACAGTTCCCAGAAAAAGCCTTAATGGGGTGGTGTACAAACACAGATATATTCTTTCTGTTTCATGCAAATTAGTAAAGCCCTCGGGGGGGCTACGCTTGCGGAGGCCCATATATATCTGAACATGGCAAACAATTATGTGCATTTGCTAATTTTCTCCCTCACTTAACTCACTCGTAGCTGCAAAACAAAATAAAACAAAAAAAATCATAAGCGGAAGAGTATAAAACATTGTGGCGATCATTAGAAGCAACAAAAGAGAGAATTCGGTAAAGGAGAGGTGCAGCTGGGCGGGGGAGGACCTGCAGACAGCTGGTGTCAGGCATGGATGCACTCCACTGTGTTTGTTCTTGTGAGGTCAGATACTGTACACAAAACACATGCCTCGCTGTCAGCCGGGCTCGTGTCACATGTGCCCCTTTGTCCCTTGTACACATTTGTTTTCCTTAATTAAAAGACTCCCCTTTATGACATTCATATGATTGTTCCCTCATAAAGAACCTGTTATACCATTTGTCTTGATGTTTTATTCTAAATATGTTGCCTCATTAAACCTGTTATGATCAATGTTAGGTACGTATGCTTATTGAGCATTACAGTACCTAATATTTTACTTTTAACTTTGTCAACAAAATGACGATTTTACTGTGAGACATTCTCGTTGGACAGATAACCTTAAAGGGGTTGACACAATTTATTTTAAGTCTGTTTAGCAGTCTTATGGAGTAAATTATATCTGAATAAACTTAAACAAAGCCTTTATACTCACAATGCATTATTCTCCATTAACATCAATACATTTGAAGACCTACATGTCTTTCCACTGCGCCTCGGCCAAAAGGCAATAATACAAATGTAATTCCCCCTTTGTATACGCACAACTTAGAAATGTGGCTTATTTGAAGCCAATGCAGTAGCACTTACCGTGGTTTAGCTTATAGGGAGGTGTGTGGCGCAGTGGATCCTTGGTGTGGGGGTCAGGGGGTCACAGGTTCAAACCCCACTGCAGTCAGCATGTCGTTGTGTTGCTAGGCAAGACACTTTACCCCAAATTGCTCCTGTGGGGATTGCCCACAGTATTGAGTATGTAAGTCACTTCGGATAAAAGCGTCTAACAAGTAATGTAATGTAATGTAATGAAAGATGATCTACTTGCAGGATTCTTGCTCTTCTTGAGTTTACATCTTCATGGTTGAATGGACTTATTTTAAGTCACTTTGGATAAAAGCATCAGCTAAATGAAATGGTATTGTCATTTCTACATTTAAATTAATATTGGTGACTAAAATCAGTGTTCTTCTCCATACTGGCCATGAAGCAATCCGTACTTATGCTGCGCAGTCAGACCAGATTTCACTGCTAATTCATTTCAAGAAAAAAGACAAGACGTATCTATTGCTAGCCTCAATTGAATTCCACCAGCAGTGAGTGCAAGGTTAATGACATTGGTTAATGGCAATGTTGTTAAGTGTTTGACAAACGTTAGAAGAATGCTGTTGCTAGCCTAGGAGGCATGCTAGCATGTTTATGCTAACAACCAAACCCATGCTGTTTGAAGTCCCAGCTGCATTTTCTGTGCACATTTCAGCACACAGTCTAAAAACTGGACATCTGCATTACAAAGGCACTGTCGCGGCCCGTCCACACGGCGGCGTGCGTTGAAGCTTCAACGCTTCTGCCCATTCACCTTGAATGCGGTGACGTCACGCTTTGCCGAACTGCATTGTGGTTCCGTCGCTTTGCTTCTCCTGTTGCTCGCTTGAAAAGTTGAGCAATGTTCAACTTTTGAAGCTTTGACTGAAGCGTCAGCCAATCAAATAATATGCCAGTACAAGCTCTAGCCAATCAAACCACGTGCTTGTGTGTCCGGGGCGGGAAATTCATGTGATTGGTTGTTGGTAATAATAATAATAATGCATTTTATTTATATAGCGCTTTTCACAACTCAAAGACGCGTTACACAGTATGAGGGAGGGTAGACAAACAAGGACAGGCAAACAAGTAAGTATAGTAAAATAAAAAAATAAAAAGGCAGTCAAGAGGAAGTTGATTGAGAGGGGGGGGCTTATGGGTAGAGTATGGTAGAGTTTCAGACACGGCAAGCTTCAACGCACGCCGCAGTGTGGATGCTGCATAAGACCAGACTTCTCCAGAGGCCTGTACTACGAAGCTGGTTCAACCTAACCTGGATATGTTTGAGTTAGTCGGTTGGCCTAATCCAAAACATACGCGCTCTCGCTAAACTGTACTACGACGCGGGTTATCAAGTGGATCGCTCAAGCCAGCCGTGCCCTATCTCAGTGCTTCTCAAACTTTTTTTAATTAATGTACCCCCTTTGAAACATTTTCTCAGCCAAGTACCCCCTGACCGATCCCGAACATTTTTGGATCGAAAAAGCCTATATAAATAATTACAATATAGTGATGTTCCCTCAGTGTGTGATGTAGTAACTCCTTCGTGGTATGCATTACAACAAACTAAGGATATTTTCATTTTATGCATGAAAAAAAATAACATAACACAAAAACAGATTTTTCCAAGGAATTTTTCAATTTAAGTAATATGTTATTGTGAAAAACTATAAAATACAATACACACATTTGACATGTTTATATGAGGACCCCCTTGGCTGTTCTAGGAATGTTTTATATAAAATGGTGTTTTCTATTTAACTTATTTTACTAAGATTATTATTTTTTTAAATCTCACGTACCCCCTGCAGTACCCCAACGTACCCCCAGGGGTCCGCGTACCCCCATTTGAGAATCACTGCCCTATCTAGTTAGGTGCGCGTTCACATGAAAGGGGTGGTATTTGGAGCATTCGATCAATCACAAACATGGAGAAGCGTACTGACAGCGCAGCGTCATACTTCCTGAATGAAAAGTCAACTATAATATTAGACATATGAAGAAGTTAAACTTTGAACATCCATGACTTAAACACTTTATCCAGGATAAAAGCCACATAGCTGCACCTGCAAGGTGAATACAGCTGGTAACAGAAAAAGTGTTTGAATGCGTACATTAACAGGTTTATGATATCACTGCTCCGTCTAAGACACGAGTGGATCTGACTTTAATTACATTTGACTCGAGTGTTTCGTCAATTTAATGTGTTGCTTAAAATAATACTTATGCATACAGTATGTGACACTGTGAGTGTTGCACAGCCAGATACGGCTCAGCTGACTCAGATAAGGAAATATATGATACATTATGATGTGATATGAATGATAATGGGACACATCGACGTCTGCACTCACAGTGCCGCGGACTGTAGGCTACGTAATGTTACTTTGATCCGGTTACTTATGTTGTGGCAGATATTTAAGTAAGCTTTCTTAACATAATAGTATAATAGTTATAATAGTCAGACTGCTCTGAAGATGGGAGGTGATGTTCTATTCATTTTCACGTTCACACAGTCGGTGATTTTGGCCGGTCGTCTTTCCTGCAACGGCAGTTTAAACTGTATTTCTTCCGCACACTGAGCTCTGATTGGTCAGCAGGCGTGGTGCTTTCGCTGAGTTGATCTCTTATCCTGGAACCTATCCGGCTTCGGAGCACAGACTAGGTTCCAGGATAAGTCCCACTAAAAAGTGAACCAGCTTCGTAGTACCGGAAATCACAGAAGATGTGGATTTATTTATGTCTTCATTTTAAGGGAGAAACCGAGTCAAAGACTCAAGAAAGAAAGTGTAAAAGAAAGAGCCAGAAAGAAAGAAAGAGAACTTTTCATCTATATGTTTAGACGTCTGATAAGGGGGCCTCCTGCCCTGCTCTCTCATCTTCAGCCAACTAATCATAAGACCGGACCCCTTTGATCCCAGTGGCAGCCTGATACACTGTGTGTTACAGCAAAGTGTGTGTGTGTGTGTATAATGTATTTTCATGTATGCCTTGTGCTTGTGCTAAATTGTTTTGAGAATTAATAATGTTCTCTTATCCTTTCAGAGCGTTTGTGAGCAGGAGCTGGAACAAGTCTTGGAGGAGATCTCCAAAATGACCTCTGAGGATAACAGAGGCCCGCTGGAGAACCTGTACGGGCTCAAGTTTCCAAACTGTGACAGACAGGGACTGTACAACCTCAAACAGGTGAGCCAAGGACAGCGCACTGGGTCACTATATGCCATTTCACCTCAATAATCACTCTGTTTAGATATAACACTGACTGGTAGATTCCAGAGTGTCACACCAAATTCACATATGAACACACGTCTTTGCGAGTGTTCTGACATTCAAAGCTACAAAGTAAGGCAGGGAAGCTTCATCATTAAAAAACTTGGTAGGAATAACAAAGAGCAAAGCGTATAGACACAATACTAATGACATCATCTTACAGTATGTCATGGTCAAATAATTCTGCAACAAACTTTAGTTAACAAAATATATGCAATTAGTATTGTTACAGATTGATCCACCAAACAAGAATTTCTCAACTACCAAATAGTGAGTACATAACAAACAATCTATAGCTTGTATGAAATGACAGCTGGTGAGGTTGACAAAAGTGCGGTTATATCAAGAATGTCTTCGCAGGGTCTTGAGGAAAGGAATCGTGAAATGTTAACGTTTAAAATCACATCCTAATTTAAACCCCTCAACCTTCTCAGTCGTTTACCTACGTGCACTTACATTAATGCTGAGACTTTTTATATAACAAGTATCTGCAGGACATGGTCCATAAACTGTCAGCACTTTTGTGCCTACAGTATATATACTTATGCATACCTTGCCTTTAGCCTTTTTTCTATAGAGAAATTGTGGTATGTAGGAAACTTGCCCTCACTACTTGTTGAGGCCTTGTCTTGGAGAGAGTCCCTGGGTGTAAATCTAGTTCTAATGGTGGCACAGTGCCAACAGTGGCACAGCAGCTCCCTTTGCCTCAGGACCTTTAGTTGGTGGCCATGCCCATTACGGTGTGACTTTTCCTTTAATGAGGCTGCTGATCCAATATGGCCTACATGTACATTAGGGGAGGATGTACACGCAAGCATTGTTCTGTAATGATCCATTGTTTATTGTGTAAGGCAAGAATGTGTACAATATATACTGTCCCTAATACATATCGACTTCCAAATGAGTATTGATATAATAGTCTAAATCAGGGGTGGGGAACCTTTTTCCTCTCAAGGGCCATTTCAATTTTTACAATATCCTCAGAGGGCCGTACAAATTATTGACCTCTGCTTAAAAAAACTAAAATCACAGCCCCTTCATTTCATTCTGTGCAAAGAAAAAGCAACCTCTTAATCCAGATATCTCACCATGACTCGCGCATGCATGCACGTGCACGGTGTGGCGTGACCACCAAAACAGAAAGATATGGACACAAGATGTGTGCAAATGTATTTAGTTTCCTATCCATGTGAACATGATTTAAGTGGGGGGGGACCTAACCTTCTCTAGGGGGGTCCGGGGGGCATGCTCCCCCGGGAAGATTTTAAGCATCAATCAAGTTAAAAGCATCAATCTGGTGCACTTTGAGAGCAAAATTAAGAGATCTATGGATACATCTCTCAACATCCATATGAAACAGAACTGTAAACAGATTTATTTTTTCTTTATGGATATTTTACAAATCACTCCCCTTTCAAACTGTATTCTTCTTTATTAATAACAACTTTTTTTTACTCTCATATAGTATTTTATACCTGTTTACTTTATTCTCTTATTTTTTTATAACTATTGTAGCGACCCTGTATAGGATGCTGAGGGTGTCACTCAGGCATCCCCCGTCTCTCTGCCAATCATAGAGCTGCACAGTGATGCTGGTTGAGGTGCGGGCCTGTGGTTGGGGGAGCAGACGGGGGAGGGCGGGAAGTTGTGACGTAGACACTGTTATATATATGGGTATGGGTAGGAGTTAGAGTTAGTGTGAGGTTGAACCCACAAGCTGTACATGAACCTGTGATCATCTGTGAATAAGAAGAGTTATTAAAGCCTAATAACTAGAAGCCTGTTTCCGACTCCCTTTGTGATCGTTACATTGGTGCCAGAAGTGACTTTTCGAACGGAGGACGTCTATCCTGACGAGAGTTCGTAACTGCGTCACGGAGCTAGCCGGTAAGCTAGCGGAGATGGAAAAGTTCAGCAAGATGGGAGTGAAGCAGGAAAGTAGTGAGGGAGAGGAAGATGGAGCATGCGGGTGGTCGAAGGACATGAGTGGAGAGTTCATGAGTGCACGGGAGGCGAGAGAGCGCCTGAGAGAGTCGGCGGTGAAGATGGCTAGAGACGCGGGAATGTCGCCGTCTTCAGCGGCATTTCGCGCCATTTTCAAGCTGGATGTAAACAACAATGGCGGCGCCCATCAACCAGTAGCAGCCGCCGCGTCCGTGAAAACACCCAAATACTCGGGTAAGGCAGACTGGGAGGCTTTCCATGCCCAATTTGAACTACTTGCACATGCCGGGGGTGGTCAATAGAGACTAAAGCACTACAGCTAGCTTTGTGCCTCACAGACGAGGCTCTTTCATGTCTGCTACTACTTAGCCCTGAGGACCGACTCAGCTATGAAGCGTTAGCGGGGGCTTTGAAGAGGCGGTTTGGACAGTGTTTCCCGCCAGAGCTGCTCCGGAACGAGTTGAGTAACCGCTGTAGGGAGTTTGGAGAGACGCTGCGTTTGTTGGTTAACGACGTGGAGAGCCTGACGCGGCGGGCGTATGCACACATGCCACCCGGAGTGCAGAGTGAGCTGGCACGTGATCAATTCATCAGGGCTCTTCGCCCTGCGGACTTGAAGGTCGAGGTACAGCTGCAGCATCCACAGTCCTTGCAGGCGGCCTTGGAGATGGCTGTGGAGAGAGATAATGTGTGGAGTGGAGCTGCTAGGAGCAACGGAGGGCCGGCAGCACCGGTTGTGAGGAGCTGCAGGGAAGAGGAGAAGCCTGCATGGGTTACCGAGATGACTGAAATGATAAGGGCTGTTTCTCTGCAGCCAACACGCAGACCAAGTACCAGGGTCTGCTGGGGGTGTGGTCAGCCAGGACATTTGGCCAGAGACTGCCCCAAGGCACACCGGACCCAGGGAAAGGACGGGGGGCCCGCATAAAGGAAAAGATGCGGAACCAAGCCCAAAGACTCCCCAACCAAACCACAGCTTTATTGTCACCAACTCAGACATCCGAGGAAGGAGCCCGACAGCACAGCCGGGGGAGCCAGACTCTACGCCTTCCTGAAGAAGACGACAGCACATGCGTGGAGCCTGTCGTCGCGGTGGGCCGTGCTGGTGGTGGGGATTCCTGCTATGTACCTGTCGATATGGAAGGGGTGCCCTACACTGCACTGGTGGACACAGGCTCTACAGTAACCCTGGTGAGAGCAGATGTGTTGCCCCGCTACGTTCTCACGGCCATAGACTATTTCACAAAGTGGCCAGAGGCGTATGCTCTCCCTGATCAAGAAGCAGAGACAGTCGCAGATGCCTTGGTGGCCGGCATGTTCAGCCGTTTTGGAGTGCCGGAGACCCTGCACAGTGACCAGGGGAGAAATTTCGAGTCCCGGGTGTTCGCCTCCATGTGCTCACAACTGGGCATGCACAAAACACGCACCTCCCCTTTGCGACCTCAGAGCGACGGACTAGTCGAGAGATTCCATCGCACCATGGGACAGCAGCTGGCCATCCTCACGTCTCAGCATCAGCGCGACTGGGACGAGCATCTGCCCCTTGTGCTCATGGCATGTCGTTCTGCAGTCCAGGAGTCCTCAGCCTGTTCTCCTGCCCTCCTCATGTTGGGGAGAGAGCTTCGAACCCCTGCTGTTCTGGCATTTGGTCAGCCACCAGATTCCCTGGACACGCCTCCAGGGCCTGAGTACGCAAGGAGACTTCAGGACCGCCTTGATTCCGCTCACGCAGAAAAGTGCTGGGGTGAGACAGAAGCGGAACTATGACACCAGGACAAGAGGGCAGCATTTCCGGGCCGGGGAGCTGGTTTGGGTCTACAGCCCACAACGGAAGAAAGGCCGGTGCCCAAAACTGGACAGTCAGTGGGTTGGTCCCTGCAGAGTACTGGAGCGGGTGGGGGAAGTGGTCTACAGGGTGCAGCTGCCACCAAATGGGAGAAAAGTGGTGCTCCACAGAGACAGGTTGGCTCCGTACAGAGGAGTCGCTTCTCCACAGGCCCAAGGAACATCGGGGCCCACAGCCGTCCCCTCGACACCCCCACTCAGGTCCCCCGGCGAACAGAGCAGCAGTCCCCCATCAGGGACTGAGTGTCCCCCCATTTTTTCGCCGCCTGGGCCAGAACCGGCAACCCCTGTCCTCCTGACCCCAGTCCCCCTGCCGAGAAGGCAGTCACGACCCCCGGGTCGTTTCAGAGACTTTGTTTGGTAGTAAAGTTATAGTGAGACCCCTCGGTTCCTGTAGAGGGCAAGAATGCGGCCTGGTCTCACTGGAAGGGATGGTAGTCCACCCAGACCTTCCTAGTCAAAGTACAGTGTGTAGTTACAGTGTTTGTGCTGAGTTTTATTTGTTCCTCGTGGGCGAGGAACTTTGTAGTGGGGGGGGTAGTGTAGCGACCCTGTATAGGATGCTGAGGGTGTCACTCAAGCATCCCCCGTCTCTCTGCCAATCATAGAGCTGCACAGTGATGCTGGTTGAGGTGCGGGCCTGTGGTTGGGGGAGCAGACGGGGGAGGGCGGGAAGTTGTGACGTAGACACTGTTATATATATGGGTATGTGTAGGAGTTAGTGTTAGTGTGAGATTGAACCCACAAGCTGTACATGAACCTGTGATCATCTGTGAATAAGAAGAGTTATTAAAGCCTAATAACTAGAAGCCTGTTTCCGACTCCCTTCGTGATTGTTACACTATAATGATCATATAAAGATGTGCCTTTACCTCACTGGTTGTAGAAAAAGCTTCTTATATTCGTTAGCATAGCTAGCTAACCAGATGCTAATAACAACAAAGTTATTGACTGTCTGATCAGTATGACAGATGAGCAGACCACTGGGCTTTCAACTAAAGACACAGACACGCAGAAACTGCAGCATGTGTACGGCTCCTTATCGGTAACTACTGCAGTTTCTGAAGTGCCGGAGCCGTTCTGGTGCTCTCCGTCAGAACTGCACCCCTGTCAGTCGAGACATATACCACGTGATGACACGTTAGGCTCGTGTTGTGTTCAAGGACCCTGACCTTGGCCAGGAAAAACAGGCACTCGCTTGTTTAATTTTTTTGCGGTCTAGATTTCTTACATTTTTTTCTTTTTTGCTTGTGTTTATAAATTACCTCGAGGGCCGTACCAAATTGTCTCGCGGGCCGTATACGGCCCGGAGGCCGGAGGTTCCCCACCCCTGGTCTAAATGCTGATTACAGATGCTTCAACTTTATGGTACTGTTAGACCATTTTAGTTCATACAAGCATCATTTAAACATATACTGATAAGCTTCCAGATATACATGATAGAGTACTCTAGTAAGAATATAGTTAAAATGTCTACAGTATAGTGACGCAAACTAAAAATATATATCATCTCTTCAGCAATAGGTTGAGTTTGAACAGAATTGTATACTTTGTTTTGTCCTACTTTGCTTATCATTCATTCAATTTCCATTGCTCATTACTATTTCATATCTACGGAGCCCTGGAGGGTTCATAGAGAGAAAAATAAATAAAACGAGGCCACGTTTTATTAATTTGTGCGCACGAGATGTCATTCGTGGCCTCAATTTAAATAAAACGAGGCCATGTTTTATTAAGTGTGTGTGGCTAAAACGTAGCAGCCTCGATCTCTATTTAGCTGTTCTAATGAAGGTAAACACAGTGAAGGCGCTGCGTAAAAGACACAGCTCTCTGCGCACAGATAGCAGATACTGTGAGAGTCACAGACATGAATTCATAGATCAAAGCAGACTGGTTCAAAGACTCTCCTGTTTTGTGAATCCGGTGCTTAAACAAATAGCACTACACCTCTGGCCGAAATGTCCCTAAAATGAAGTCTGAGTTTGAAATATATCTCAAATAATGTATGCACTGCCATTTCCCCAATGAAACATAACAGTCTGCAATGAAACGGTTGTCTCCTGTGCACTCCACTTCCTATTTGGCGCACCGGTAACTTTCTCGTGCGAACGAGAAAGTATATCGTGGCCTCGTTTTATTTAAATTGGGCCACAAATTACATCTCCTGCGCACAAATTACATCTTGTGTGCACAAATTAATAAAACGTGGCCTCGTTTTATTTATTTTTCTTTCTATGAACCCTCCAGGGCTCCGTACATATCAGTGAGGAAATGTATCATATTTAAATTAGCTTTCAATTGGAATGAGCGCTAAAACTCATGAAACTAATACAAAGTTAGCTTTATACAACTTCCAGTTAGTTTGTCTGAAAGTTTCCTGAATGTGTTTTTGGTTAGAAGCCTGAAAGAAGGTCTGTGGTTTACACAAGTTTAAGATATTTTCAGATTTTGTTCTATGACATAAAATACATCAGGAAAAACCCTCTTTAGTTTATGACACACAGCTTATATGTGTCATTAACACAGCAGTTGCTAACAAGTAGCTGAATGAGACTACTAAACATCATCATGGCAACACATTAGTGGTGTAATTATGTGGAGATTATGTTGTATGTTCTCTGCAATATTCCAAACACCAATAAATCCCCATTGGATTTTTGTACAGGGAGTCCTTGCAATGCTAACTTCCGGGTCATCTCACAAAAATACGACATCACTGCACCACTCTATAGGGTGGCATGTCACAACACCGGCCATGTGTCCGTCAGTGATGTCACAGCAGGTGTTTTCCATCTGCTGTCAAAGGTGACCCACCTGCTGTGACATCACTCAATGGTTTTGGCCAGCAGCAGGGAGCTACTGTTTCATGGGGAGCACACAAGCTCAGACTGCAAATGTCGTCAGGTTTAGAATTTGGCTAGAGGTCGTTGTATAATACACTGACTTTGATCATGGAAAAAAAAGTCTCAATTGTAATCCGAACTGTATGTGAGCTTTGTTTTTAGTTTTGTCTAATTTGTTATGTTCTCCCTGTGTTCTCCTTTTACCTCCTTAAAATCCCACAAACTCCCGTACTGTATCACTTTGTGTAAATCTCCCTTGGATGTCGCCTCATTTTATAAACACACACACACACACACACGCAACCACACACACACACACACTCTCTCTCTCTTGTATCAGCCTGGTTAAATCACCCTGGCAAAAATATGTCCCCCCCTCACTCCCACCTGCCACCACTCACAACACAACCCCCCCTTCCCCCCATTTATTTTAATAATGTCACACACACACCCTCCTTTTCCTTAACACTTTGCCCTTATGCACGCACGCACACATACACACACATACGTGTGGAAATGTTGTCACCATGAATGAGGCAACAGCTTCTGAGCTCAAGGTTACAAGGCAATAAAACAGTTTGGCGTACTTCATGGGAAGACTTTTGTTTAGCCGAGGAACGAAACCACGCTTCCGACCGGGGGTTTGAATTTGAATTCTGCTCGTCCATAGAAATCAGGCACCAGAGGACAAACAAGGTCACATATCCAGTGTTTTCTTACGAGGATAGTAGAGCAGAAAAGAAGATTTGAATAGGCGCCACCGTTTCCTAAAGCAGGGCTCTCAACCACTCAGCCAATTTTCATCACTGGTCACAAACAACAGCATTGTTTCGGACCAGAGTCCCCGGTTCCCAGGGAGGAACACTGTACCTCCTCAACACTCGGCTCCCTTTGGAGTTGTCCCTCCTTGTCGCGGGGTAATTACTGTAACTGTCACTTTTTTTGTTCTTTCTCATCGAAGGAAGAAAATGGAAAGTCTTTTCTTTCCCCCAGAGCTCTTCATTCTTTTGGCCGTCCCCTCCGCTGCCGCCCCGCGTGCGCGGCATAAACTGTGTCCACTTCAATTACGACCTAATTTCTGAGTGGAGGGGGGCTCTGCGGGGGGGGCCGGTCTACTGGCATGCCGCTGCGTGTGTGTGTGTGTGTGTGTGTGTGTGTGTGTGTGTGTGTGTGTGTCTGTGATAGCATGTGTGGCTGTGCATGTGTTGTGAGTTGGGGGCATGACCTGAAGATGGGCTGTTATTGGGTGAGTGTCGTCCCGCCCGGACCATAGCCCTCTCTCTCATCCAGTGGCCCCCCGCCATCAGAAGATACACAAGTACACAAACACACATCTCGAGTCTCCGTACACCATGCTTCATTAATGCACCCCCTGCTTCCCACTGTGCATCCTTACCCCTCCCTCTGGTTTCTAGTGTTTTCCAACTTGTGTTTTTCTTCCTCCAGTGCAACATGTCCAACCACGGCCAGCGGGGCGAGTGCTGGTGTGTTGACCCCTACACCGGGGTCCAGATCCCAGCAACGCCTCGAGTCAGAGGGGATCCCAACTGCTACCAGTTTCAGGAGGACCCCACCGAGGCAGATTCATAGAAGTGTTTGTGTTTTCTTTAAAATAAAAAATCTCTGAGGATTTTACCATGAATAGAGTTATTATGTGTATGTATGTAAAGAAAGTCCCTATGTTTAAAGACTTGTTTAATTTATACTTGAACCTTTAACTAAAAGAAGACACACTTGAGAACTTAAAGGAGAGTACAGCCCTGCCAAGGCCAAATAGCTTATCTCACAATGTTAACAATAGAGGACAATATTACAAAAAATATTGAGGACAGTTTATTCCGAGGCCCGTGCTTCAACCTTCATCCTATTTCAAGAATAATGGTCCATCATTTTTTCCTTAATGCTGCCAACTATCACCAAACCAAAATTAAAACATAACTTTCTTGACCTGAGGTTACGGGACCTTAGTCCATGTATGGATGGATATGATTTAATCTTGAGAAAAAGTACAATTATGTATTTTTTTAAACGTAATGTGCTAGAACATCTGGCCACAGTAGTTTTGTTACTTCAATTTAGCCAACTTGTTCTTTAATTTTGGGAACTATTCTAAACTGTGAATTGTTACACTTTTGGAATGCTAATAAGTACTAATGGATTCATAGCAGAGGGACCGTTTTCATTGTAATGAAGAAGCATGCCAGCCAGTGCATTTATAGAGGAATAAGTTGCATCATGCTTTGGCTGCCTGGACTATAATTGGTTGCTTTTGGTCATTCTATAGGATTTGTTGACAATAAAAACATCCAAATAGAATATGTACAGCCTTATCTTTTAAAGCTGCATACATTTATTTTTTCCTCAAGCTCTAAACTCAACATTTGAAACAGTACTACCTTATTAGAAATGTGTCAGCAATCCAATATCCATTCCAGCAGACACAGAGTAAAATTAGCATGACCTTGATTTGTGACCATCTTTATTCATATACAATGGGACAATGTAACATCTGTCCAGTACTACAAAAATAAACTGACTCCCCCCCCCCTGCCTGAAACGCCTCCATTGGACTCCTTTGTTTACTTCCAATACATAGTGACATCACTATGTAACACTCATGCTTGTATTGGCTAGTGCTCCAACACATTGTAGGCTAAGGGTTGGGACATCTTTAGGCGGTTAACCAATCACAACAAAGACAGCCAGCTAACCAATCAGAGCAGACTGGGCTCTGGTTTCAGACAGAGGGTGAAAAGAGGTGCTGCAGTACAGGCAGTATGAGAAAAATAAAGAGTTTTTTAAACATTAAAGCATGGAGACATGTCCCAGTAGAGACACTAATAAAGCCCCTTTAAGAGTATCTAATCTGCACTTCCACTGTTCCATAAACTGATGAATAAATACATTGAGCATATTCAAAGTGATTGTCATTTCAGATTTGATTTGTGTAGCTACATGTACAAAATAAATGAAATTAATTATAGCCTACCGATGTTACCTGCCTCAAGTGGAGTCACGGTAGATTTGATGCAATGTTAATGCAATACCTTTGTAAGCTCACAGGCCTGTAGTAAACTTGAGCTGAGGTTAAACACTTGTTCTTGAAATCCTCTGACATATCAGAGACATGTGTGCACAATCTAATTTCAGTGAGTTGTATCTGTCGTACTTTCCCTGATTGCATCTTGTAATATCTCCCTGTTGATGATTCGACATCATTTTCAGTAAAGTAATTTAATTCAACTCTGTTTTGACAATCTTAACTAAAGATGTAAGAATGTTTCTATGAATCCCCACCCATGTGTGGGGATGTGCAGCAGAGAAAAGTTGTTGTTTGTCAGCACAGGGCGGATCTACTGGGGTGGCATGGGGTGGCAACTGCCACCCTAAACAATAGCCTTGCCACCCCAGCTGCCACCCCAGTTGGCATCTTTGTTTTGAAAGAAAAGTTGTGGCTCATCGGACATTTATGAGAGAAAGTCTCTAATGTCCGAGTGCAAGTGAATGCAGCACAAGATGATTGATTGATTGATTGAAAAGTGTATTAACAGCTTGTATATTGGGTACAGTACAGCTCAAAACATACAATTGTTAAGGGGATGCAGACCAGAGAAAGACTTTCGTCTTGTTTACATCAGGGTCCCCCATTTCCAATTCATCATGTCATTTAAGACATATAAGACATATTTGACATACAGATGGCTTATTTACAATTTACATACAGGTGGTTTTTTACATACAGATTGCTTGTTTACAATTTTCATTTTTGATTTTGTTCTAATACATCCTAACCGGACATTTAAGACATACCAAGTCTACAGATATACAGTTAGTAACAGAGTCTAAAATGCGAGTATACATAGATGGGGGGGGGGGAAGCTGTCCATTGAACGACAGGTTGAGATTTGTACCATTACCGGGGCCAGTTTTGCAATGCTCTCCCCCGAAGGTGCTCTTTAAGAGAGGTTTTGAAGGTAAGTATAGTTTTACTTTCCTTTACAGTTGTGGGAAGAGCGTTCCACCTTGATGTGGCATAATTGCGAAACGTGTATTCCCCCTTTTTTGTGCCAAATCTGGGTTTCACATGATTTGTGGAGCTCCCTCTGGTGTTATGATCATGGTATTCGTTGACCTTTGGGAAGAATTTTGACATGTACATGGGTACCATAGAGGTGTAGTGGATCCTGTAGACCAGGCCCATTGCTAGTAGCTGTACTCTGTCGTCTACTCTAAGCCATCCTAGGTTGTCAAAGTGGGCAGAGGTGAGGTGGGTTCTAGATGAAAGGTCAAGCAGTAGTCTGACCAGTTTATTTTGCGATGTTTGAAGTTTTATTTTTAGCGCCTTGGAGGTGCTATGGTACCATGACGTGCAAGCATAGTCATAGTACCCTTGAATGAGTGCTCCTGCCAGAGTTTTCAGGGTGTTTTTGTTTACCAGAGAGGAGATCCGGTATAGGAATCTAGTTCTTTGATTGACTTTTTTTATTACATTGGATGCCATTTTGTCACAGGAGAGGTTTGCCTCAAGAATAGATCCTAGGTATGTAATTTCCTTCTTACTTGTGACAATAATGTCGCCCACTGCAACTGAGAAGTCGTCGGATTTGCTGAGATTATGTTTCGAACCGAAGAGAATGGATTCTGTTTTACCCAGGTGTAATGATAATTTATTATCGGCGAGCCAGGTGCAGATTCTGCCGAGCTCGGAGCTGAGGGTTTTTTCAACCTGCAACCTGTTCCTGTCAGAGACCAGCAGGGCTGAGTCGTCCGCGAACAGGAACAAGTTGCAGTCACATGCTGATGACATGTCATTTACATAAATTAGGAACAGTAACGGACCTAATATGCTTCCTTGTGGAACACCACAGCTCACTGGGAGGGGGGGGACAGAGTACCGTTTACCTCCACCATCTGTTCTCTCCCCTCCAGGTAGGATTGCATCCAGCTCACCGATAGTTTATCAAAACCAATTGCTTTTAGCTTGTCAATCAGAATGGGGTGATTGACAGTGTCGAAAGCCTTTTGTAGGTCCAGCATCACCATGCCGCAGTACTTGCCCTCGTCCACCTCTTGTTTGATGTGGTCGCTCAAATAAAGAAGGCATGTGTCAGTGGAGTGGGATGTTCTAAAGCCAGATTGAAATTCATAGATTAGTTTCTTTTCCGCGAGGTACTTTTCGACCTGTTCATATACTATTTTTTCCATGACTTTCGAGATGGAGGTAAGTATAGAAACAGGTCGGTAGTTGCCTGGGTCCAATTTGCTGCCCTTTTTGTGCAGGGGGGTTACTCTTGCAATTTTGAAGTCTTTGGGTACTTTTCCCTGTTTTATGGAGAGGTTAATTATGTGAGCTATGACTGGTGAGATGGCGGTTGCTGAGTCTCTGAGGAATTTGGAGGGGATATTGTTGTGGCCAGTGGCCTTGTTAGGTTGGAAGGCGCTCAGTTTAATGAGTACCTCTGCTGTTGTTACCCTTGCTAGACTGAAATCATCTTTGCGTACCCCTAGGTTTTTGTAGTAGGTCATGATGTGATCTACTCCAAAAAGCCCTGAGTGGGAGGGTAATTTATTTACAAGAGTTGTGGCTATGTTTGTGAAAAAAATGTTCAAGTACTTGGCCACATCCAGTTTGTCTGTGATGAGCCTGTTATCTGTCTTTATGTTTAAGTTAGAAAATCTCGTTTTGAGTTTTTTACTGCAGCCAAGCTGGTTATTGAGTAATTTCCAAAGTTCACAGGGTTTATTTTTGTTTTCCTCAGTTTTGACATTGATGAAATTCTTTTTGGCAGTTTTGATCATGGAGCTTACGTCATTTCTTAGTCTGTTTCTTTCAATTTTGAGTTCAGTCACGTGGGCCTAGAGTTCACTGCTCGTGCTTTTGGAAAGCACGTCATGTAACCCCTCCCCCGGTCCTGGCGCGAGAGTGGAAATATGATTGGTGGCGAATTCACTTGAACGGGGGGATGGCGCAAAACGAGAAGCCTTTCGGACCCAAGCACTGAAGGAATGAGGTAGTTGCGGTCTACAATGACAGAGAAGAGAATGTCAAGTTTGGCTGTACTCAGCATTGAATCAAAACGCACTACAGCTGTTGATCTTAATAAGTTTGTGAGGCGTTTTGCTGAACAAAATAGTAATCGCCGCATTCAGCTGTAATAGACATGCCAACTTGATGCTCTGCTCACGGATGACTCGATGAGAATAACAAACTGTTAAGATGATGACCTTGTATGCGTGTATATATTTTTTTCTTTGAGGGGGTCTGCCCCCAAAAAACAGTTTTAAGTCCTGAGAAAGTAAAATAAGACGGTGTGTAAAACTACACTGCCCAGCCAACAGAAAGTAACCACTTTGATTTAACTAGGCCAGTAAGTAAGTAAGTAGGACCTTCCACTGGATAATAACTGCAGCGATGTTTTAGCTGAATACACGTTTTTTAACCCTAACTGATGCAGTTAGTCACTTCTTTAATGTTTGTTCTTTCTGATGTAAAGTCAAGGTTGTAACTGTATATCAATAATGATATAATTACTTGTTTTTCAAATTTGAAGGAGGGTGAGCAAGCATCTTGATGAACATTCATCATTAACTCCTCCAAAAAATATAGTTTATTCAATAATAAATGAATATGTGAATCATAACAGTTCTTCACTATATCTGTAAAGCGTCTTTGAGCACCTGTAAAAACACTAACAAATTAAATCTATTATTATTATTATTATTTATTAACAGTGATTGACAGCTGATAGGAATAATATGATTGTTAATAGTATCATATTCATTCAGACAAACATCGATGAGACAGTTAATTAATGTACTTATTGCAGCAGTCTGCATAGATTTGGTACCCCTGCTGGTCTAAGAGTGAGACAAACTCATTCAGTTATTGTTCAGTTAAAATTCATTAAATTACGTCTGCCACCTTATATGTAAGGCTTTACTGATGTGCCAAAATAATATCACCTATGTGATTGAGTTAAAATATTAATATTGTGGCTTTCCAAGTTAACATTGATTGTAGGGGTGTAACGGTTCACAAACATTTAGGTTCGGTACGTACCTCGTTTTTAGGTCACGGTTCGGTTCGTTACGTTTTCGGTACAGCAGAAAAAATTATCACAAAATATTACATTTTTTTTTAAAATTATTATTAAACTGTGACTAATGTATTCAAATAAATACAAAATATAGTAAAATAAACATTAAGGTGCAGCATTTCGATGAACTGAAATAATCTGTATTTGAACTGTACTAGTACCTAAGCAGCCAGCTTGACATTAGGACTTGCTTGTCATTGTATTTTGTTGTTTAAAGAAAGATAAACTTGTCCACATTGCTTGCTGAAATGGCAGATCTGCTGGCACTAACAATGACTCCTGCTGTGGAGAACACCCTCTCGCTAGGGACAGTGGTAGCAAATACAGCCAGGTAGCGCTTTGCTAACATGGCAACATAAGGATATTTGGCGTTTGTAATAGCTTTGGCTCGGTCTGAACTTTCTGCGAGTGATGGAGGCTTAAATGCTAGTGGGAGTTGGGTTTGCACTTCAGTCTTTTT